GCGTCGCGGCGTTCAGCCGCGACGGACGGGGGAGAGGGGCGTGGGGGCGGAGGAGTCCACAAAAGATGGATTGCGATTGGGACTGGTTTTCTGGGAGCGAGTGGAAGAGCCAGTAGTTGAGAAATCACATTCTTAGGCGGGGGAAGAGTGGAAAGGCATGCTCTAAAGGATTGTCACACTTCATGGGTGCCCCCCCAAAAGACCTGGGAGTCTTGCTGAGCTCCACAAACCTTTGAGGCGAGCATGTATTCCATGTGACATGCTCGCGAAGAGCGGAATATAGCGCACGCTTCCCAGTTTGTGCCGTGTGCAGAACGAGATGTCGTGAGGTCCTGGCGGGTGTCAAAAAATGGTCTGAAACGTCACCAAAAGGAAAGACGGACGCAGTTACTTGTAAGGGGCTCCCATGGCATCGCTACGAACGTACGCTACGAACGCATCGAACTCTTTTTCGGTCTTTCTTCGGACCTTTTGGGACCTTTTTCGACCGCTTCTCAGGAAGTGTGACAGGTCCTTTGATTCCCCTCATTGGTCATGCAAGACTCGGTGTTTCACCAAGAGTCTTGTGATGACACTGGACGAACTGGACACATCAATGCTGCGACTCACTGGACGAACTGGTTTTTCTAGGTTTTTCAGCACAATGCAGACCATTTGCAGGTAGTAGATGGCACCTCAATGCACCCTCATCCAATCGTCCTCGACATGGATCGTCCAGGGATCGGTGAAAAGGTTCATTGACCCTTTTCCCGTGGGTTCAGAGCTTCGTAAGCCCGCCACGGCGGTCGCGAGAGGCCAGGGTTTGACTGGACCGTATGTTCGGGTGACGAGGCAAATGAGTGAATCCTACCAGCACCCAGGCAGGGTAGGGATAGGGTTGAACCCTAACAGGTCGAACCAGACAGATGACCTGTAGAGTTGGGGTCCTGGTAGTTGTTGAAGATGGTGGACCAAGCCCAAAAACATGCGATGCGACCCAACCGTGCTCGTTCTTTGTTCAAGGCCGTGCTTTGGTCGCCAGCACTGCGCTGGAATGGAGTTGTCAAGAACTTGATGGCTGGCGATTTCTTTTAAAAGGGAGATACGATTGGAAGCCAAGCAAGATGTTCAAAGAGACTTCAATGATTTATTATGTTCCAAGTCACAAGCCAGAGTGCCTGGTTCGGAGATTGGGGCATAAGGCAAAAACCCGACAAATAGAACCAGAGACATCCTTTTGTTTGTAGTGCAGAATCCTTCCCCCAGGGCCAAAGCTTTGTAGGGGTCCTTAATGTTTGCGCTCCATTTGTACACTCCACTCTAGTAGGTTGGAGGCAATTGCTCTTAGGTTGGAGGCCACTGCTGTTCGGTTGGAGGCTTTGTACACCCCACTGTTCAGTGGATGGCAGACCCTGGACCGAACTCAGGCTGTTCCTCATGCTAGTGAGGTGTGGAGCATCATGTCATCCTTAGGTTGTCGCCCGTGACCAGCAACAGTCCGCAAAAGATCATCACTCCTTTTGAGATGTCGGCCTACTCGCAGCTGAACCATCATCCACTGGGCCCGGGGGGGTGGGAGATACCCAAGTTCCGTTCCCAAAGACGCTAGCACGGTTTGATACACGCTTCTGCGACATCGAAGACGTCTATGCGGCATCAACCTTGTCTGGTTCCGTGAGGCCTCTTCTTTTTCCGAACTCCCCGTGAACCTGCGTCCGAGCAGGGAAAGATTCCACAAAAGCTCTGTTGAGAGCCAACCATCAAGAAGTTGCTTTCATCGATGCATTCAACTGAGAGCCGGATGCGCTGATCCTCGCACGATGAGCCGGCTGAGTGATCGGAACTTCCGAATGCGCTGAATGCGAAATTACTTTTTGGCATTCGACGATGAGTTTTGTCATGAGAATCTCGAGATTCCGCAAGTTAAGTGATGTAGGACAAACAGCGCATGCACGATGAGATTAAATCAGACAATGAAAGAGCTAGCTGAGAGACAGAGAGGAAGAAATCATCTTCCAAAAAATCCTGAACTGAAAAACGGTAGAGGTGAAGCCGCCTTCAGAAGATTCAGTTTATTTCGCAAAAAAAGTGGGGTCTGGCTGGCTGCGGCAATGCACTCGGTTTAATGTGCTTTTCTTGAGTAAGCCAAGCTCAGTCTTCAGTGCCTGCGTAGCAGCGCAAAACTGATTGATTTACCAGTTTAGGATTCTCCTTTCAAAAGGAATCATGGTTTCTCTAAAGACTTTGCGGAGCTTCAGAGTACCAAGGCCCCAATGATTGGTTTTGTGCGACATTGCGCGGCTCCATGAGTATACTATGTGGCTTTAGTTGAGAGATACGAGCCTTGTTCACATTCAAGACTGCTTTATGAGGAAAACTCCAAAGATTTCACGGTTGCGTTTAACCTTGACATTGAAAACTGCTAAGATGTTGCCGGAAAGTGGCGGGCCTTGCCCGATATCATGTAGCGGAAGTTCGAGATTTAGGGGGCCTTGGACCTTGGATCCAGGCGATCTCAGTTCTTGCGGTCTGAAAACGGCTGCTCTATAGCAGCCTATGGCAGCCGTCCATGGGCTGCTCCTACGAAGCTCTAGGTGAGACAGTGAAAGAGTCTGCAGAAGAGTCCTCCCCATGAAGATAGAATGACCTAACGAAACATACGGCTGGATACTATGGAATAGAACACCCACACCCACACTCGCAGGACTAGGACTTTGTGTCAAGGTGAAGGCTCTCAGACCTTTCTTACCATGTCGGTCTACCTTTCGATCCGACTCTTCAGCGCAATTCGGCCAAACCGGCACAAGCACCTCCGTCGTCCACGTGGAGCCTGCGGCCGTCAGCGGTCTCGGTGGGTCAAACGATGATCAGATTGCTTTGTGCCAGCCGTCTGCCGCTGATGATCCAGATCTCCTGCCAGTTGGGTTGATCACGAATGTGTCACTCTGTGACACCGTGGTGACTCGCGCGGTAAAGGACCGCGGTTGAAGGTAAAGCTGCTCTTGATCAGAAAGCATAAGACAAGGACATGACTGGAAGCGAGGGACTTCAGGTTCTTCTGGGGTTCTTCCTGAACTAGAGCACAGATCCGTGTGTATTATTGTGTATCATTGGTCTACTTCCAAGATGTTTTCCTTCAACCAAACGTCATGAAAGCCGGAGATGGATGCCGCATCAACTCCTTTGGTAACTGGCTCAAGAGATCATTTCAACCAGTCGATGAGTGGTTTTGGAGACTCCTGTGGAGACCCAAAGCCACAGTGAGAAGGAATATATACGTTTCACACTTTTCACTTTATTAGGGCCGATCTTGATAAGATTGGCATTGTCCAGCCTCGTGGCCATTCGGTTTGCTCCGTGACCACACCGATGCTGCTCCGTGATTCCTGCCGATGCCTCTTGGGGGCACATGAAAAATGATGATAAAGAAGACACTACAACATCCCGGACAGAATTCCAATCATTCCGAAGAAGGGCCCTTCGAGGGCGATTCTGAAGTTTCTTCTCTTGCTTCATTCACCGAAACCCCCTTCTCAGGCTGGCAGCCAGTTGACATGACTGCTCTCCGATCGATGATACCCTTTAGGCCCATCGGAGTTTGCGGTCTGTCATCTTCTTCGCGAAGCACGCCGTTCCTCGAAAAGATTGCGCATGCCACGGTGCCCGTCCACGCGATACTGTTCGAGACTCGTGTCTCTGTGTGTGTGTGTGTGTGTGTGTGTGTGTGTGGGGGGGTTCATAGGAGATCCATCCCATTCCCAGTCTTGAAAACAGCATGTATCGTCCAAATCTTGTTCTTACCATAATGTTTCATCACATTTGCTTGTAGGCAAGATCTTGTTGCCTTAGAGAACTTGAGAAGAAGATTTCCACAAGTCTTCGGCGCTCGAATCTTCATCGATTCGTCAGCAACGGTCCAACCCAAATCCCCAGGTGAGGCCCTGATTTCTGGAACAGAGGACAACAAGGTCGCAGATCTACCTCATTCCACTGGAGTTGGTCCGATAAAGACACTGCTCAATGAGGTAAAGGGCAAGGTTTTCCTGCGTCAAACTGGAGCTGCAGGGCTTCGGCCCTCTGGGAGGGTCTCCGCAGACGCCTAGACCCATGCCTCCAACCTAATAAGGGATGGCCTCCAACCTACTAGCAATGGCCTTCAACCCAACAGCGATGGCCTCCAACCCCAACCTACTAGCGATGGCCTCCAACCCACTAGCCATGGCCTCCAACCTAATAAGGGATGGCCTCCAACCTACTAGCAATGGCCTTCAACCTAATGGCGATTGCCTCCAAGTACGCCTAGTGGGGGAGCAACAGCAGCCTGCTTTTTATGTCTCGTGAGAGGTTTCAACGGGATGTCACAAGGCCTCTCCCTTACGCTCCCGAATGGATTTCCCCAAGTTCCACATGACCAACAAGAACATGTCTTTTACAACCACAGGCAGGGGTAACCACCGTGTCACCCTCATCACCATAGCCAGACGTGTTCTTTCTGTCTTTCTGTAAGCTTCCTGCGATGTTCTACAAGCCCCACATACCCAGCTAGTTTCTGAAACCTCCATTGACCTATCACAATAAGTTGGATATTCCCAATTGAGCCAATCCATCATTCATCAATGTCCTCTCCATGTCCTCACCCAGACACTCATGGAATAGTCACCCTATACATAAGTCAGGGTCATTGTGAATGTAGGCGTGGCCTAAATGTGTTGCAACAAATTCCAATCCCACGCCGTGTCTCCTTCAGGCCATCGCTAGTAGGTTGGAGGCCATGCCGCTCCCGTTCCAAACCGCTCCCGTTTGCTCCAGGCCGGCGCCGTCCGAGCTCCGGGAGGGCAGTCGCCTGCGAGTCCAATGGCACCCAGCCGGAGGAAGTTGAAACGGTGATGACGGTGCGACGTCGAGGGAAGAGGTCGACGGTGCAAAAGCCCAAAACAACGTCAAACGAGGAAAACAAAGAAGGAAAAAGACCGAACATATAGTAAGTAACAACGATCTGGTCTGAATAGAATATAGGGATACAAATCATCCAAGAAAGAAAAGCCTTTTTCGTCGAATCCGGATTCGTTCGTTTCTTTGGTTTGGGGGTTTGTTCGTCGGTTAGGGCCGTTCGCAGCGGACGGAGGTTCTGTTCTCCGCTCTTTTCCGTGGAGACATGCCATTCCCCACGTCGACGTGGCGATTTCGAGAAGAACAGCGCCTCCACACCATCACGGTTTCGCGTTCGGAAAACCGAGTCGTTTGTCGGTGGCGGTTCGCCGGTTTTCCGTCCGGTCGTTGCTCGGTTTTCCGCGGCTGCGTCTCGCACATGTCTTCGTTGCGGAGTAGGGTCATGCCGACTTGGGCGTTTCAACGTCATGGCGATGTGACGACATGACCCAGACACTCCATGGGACTGCCATATATGCCGCCCCATTGACCCCCAGTCAACCACCCCAACTGATCGGCATATATGGCAGTCCCATGGAGTGTGGTGATGGGTGGGCTCGACACAGCCTGGTGTCCGGTTTTTGGACGACCACCGAGTAGGGAGGGAGAGTTCTTGGCGTCGAAATCTCTTCAGTGCTCACCTCGTGGTGCTTGGTGGTGTGCCAATTGACTTCAGTCCCATGGGTTGGAGGAGCACCACCGGCTACGGTTGTCACAGTTGTGGGTGGTCCTGAATCAAACACAGACCTGATTAGTAATCAAAAGCTGAGGTTCAGAATGATGGAACTGCCTTTAGCTATCTTCAGCTGGTGTTTCCATTTCTGAGATGATTCTCATGACAGCTCACCACATGACACCATCGGCGTTCAGACGCTAGCGGATGGTGGAAGTTTAAAACCCAGCTGGTCCTTCTTCAACTGTTCGAACAAAAGAAATCACGCTGATCACTTCAACAGCTACCGTGGGGAACGGTGTACGGGCGCCACATCAACGGTTCAAACCGTGATTCTCATGGTGGGACGGCTGCATTTGAGGTCGGACGGCTGGTGGAAAGCGGAGGCTCGAGCGGCTCGTCATGGTGCCCTGCGATCCCAACGGCTTCCTTCTTCGTCGGTTGCTTTGTGCGGTTTCATCTGCTTCGATCGGCTGATCCAAACCACCAGGACCTGGCAGGCCGAAGAATTTTGATCACGGATCTCACCAAACATTTGACCATGGATGTGAAACTAGCCCAGCTGGAGACCCCAACAGCAAGATAAAAACCCCAGCTGGAGACCCCGTCCGCCTATTAGTTTTGCAAGACCCCATAGCATGGCTATTGGGGAAACATGGATGTGCTGCCAATCCTTTTGAACCCACCATCTTCTTTCGCCGGAGTCTCTCCCAAAGTTTCCAAAAGGTTGGTCCTCCCAAAAATCCTCACATATGCCAGCACCCTCCAGGTCTCCTTCCCTTTTTGGCCCTTTTTGGGCCCGGAAGTCTCAATTCACCTGCTTTGGTCGGGCCCTGGTACTAATCTCCCGGCCCCTTAATATACAAATATATCCTAAGAAATTCTTCTATACTTATATATATATATATACCCTAGGCCACTTAGACTTCCAAGACTACTAGAAAAAAATTGGTTGACCTGGCTTTAAAAACCCTTCGTCAAACAATCGTGGTGCGGGAGTCAGCCTCTTCAATGGTGCTTAGAAGCCTATAGGTTATACAGCTGTAATACATCATCCATCGTCTTCTCCTTTTCCATGCCTATTCCCATCGTCTATCCCCATGTCGCCGGCTCGCATGGGAAAAGGAATCGCGGAACCGGCAGGTCTCCGAGGTCACGCCTGAGAAGGTGAAGGCCAGACGTTCGCTTTCGAGAGGAAGGAAGGTGTGTGGTGTTCTGACTGGTGCGACTCGTAGGGAATGAGGGAATGAACCACCCCAGGCCTGGCCCCTCTGGATCCAGCCACCCATATGCCCTACGAGTCGCACCGTTCGTCAGTGTTTCTTCTTGTTCGTCCTTGCTCCGTTCGGTTCGTACGGCCAGGAGCGCCGGCCCTCGTAGCCTTTACACATCAGAGGATGTTTTTGGGTATGGGTTTTCATGAGTATTTCACATCTCTATCCGCAAAGAGACGTTCGCAGACGTGGTGGTTCTTTTGTGGGTGAAAAGAATCAAGTGAACATGATGTGGGTGCTTTGGGGAGACTGATCACACTTGTTTATACTTGTTTTAGATTCTGAGACTGGCCTATCCTGGTCGGAGGATGGCTAGTACTGCCCACGCGCTCAGCGCACGCGCCTCTGGCGCGTCTGGTCTGGTCTTGGCTTGGACGTCCGACTCCGGAAAACCGGTCCCCCCAGCACTGTCCCCCAGGCAGCACCAAGAAAAATGGCTTTACAGCACAAACTGCTCATCTCCAGTGTCACCGAGAGCTGCAAATCCATCATTGATTGAATGTGTTTTTTGACCGAAGTGACATGATTTGACCATATTGTTTTACCAATGATCTGTTTTAACACCAGAGCCAGGTCGTTCCCATGTTGAAACTTAGTCTTGAAAGGTTAGGGGGCAGAGTTTCAGCCAAGAAACGATGCTACCTTCACCCCTGTGAGTGAGGCAAACTGGGAGTCATTTTGGAGACATGCCTCGAAGAATCTTCGTTGAACCCGCCTTGTTTGGAAGTGACCGATCCACCTCAAAGCCAACTCCAAAAATGCATCCACTGCATCAAACCGGGACCGCAACCCACTCTAGTACCCACTCTATTTGTCCGGAAATAGGACGCCAGTCGGTGCAGTCGGTGCATGGTGATGAGGTCGATTTCATCCCTTCTGTTTCAGACACCTTTCGACTGCTTCGGTCCATTTCGCCAAGGAAAACGGTGAGAAGAACGGAGCCGGACTCGTCGTGGCAGGTGACCTTCGACACCTGGGGCCGCGAGCATGATGAGTGGATTGCACGGGACAGCCAGGCGGGGTTCGGCGGTTTCGGGACGGTTTAGGGTTGGCACCCAAAATGAACATTGGCTATGAGAGCATAGACCCTGGGAGTCAAAGACTATCAAAAGAATGGTCTTTAGGTGACCCGAAAAGGAATATGCTTTACTTCAGTGGGGCAAAATATAGTCTTTGGACTTCTAGGGTAGAGAGCTATGAGAAGGGAGACTTGTTGTCCCACTGCCAGTTTGGCCCCGTGAAGAGAAGAGGCTTCTTCTGCTGGGAGAAATGGCGAGGTTTGCGGGAAAATGGGGTAGCTTCCATCGGTCTAGCACAAGGATAATTCTTTGAACAACATGTGGGTGGGTTCGCTGAGGATTGGAAACAATTGGATCATTCATATTGATGCATCAGGTTGCATCGATTGCATTTCAGACTGAATTGTATCTACAGTACTCTAGTGTCTTCCAGCCTCACCTTTTTGTCATTTGGTCAAACAAATAGTAAGCCATATGGTTAGGCAGGCCCAGAATCCATCAAATCCATGACCCTGTGCCTTCTTGAACTGGGACAGAGGCCTGGAACTGTCTGGCATAGCTAGACCAGATGTTTTTTAAATAGGGTTCGTTCTGTCTAAATGCGGTGATCAAAACACTGGCCCAGACGCTCCTGGACCCTCATATGCAGGGGTGGGTCACCCTCAAAAGCCGATGGTTTGGTTCGGGACCCAAAACCTGTGAACGGAGCGTCTGGGGGAGACCTTTTTGACACTTCGGTCGTTCGGTCGTCTCCTTCGCCTTCTCCGGCCTTCGGTCTCGGTCTAGCGCCTCCGCTGGGCCTTGCCGACCGACCAGCGAGCCGCGGCGGAGGACGGGGGTCTGCGTCCGACCGCCAAACGTCACAAGTCATCCCCGCGGTGAGGTTCTGGGTGTTGCTTTGGGTGATGTGTCCTTTCCCTATGATATGGGTGATGTTTCCTTTCTGGGTGGTGGTTTCAGACGATTTAAGGGGCGAAACGGGAGACAGTGGGCCAGGGGGCCTAGAGGGAGGTGGCAGAGGTAAAGGCAAACAGGTGAGAGCAGGGTGTCGGTGGTGGTGGTGGGTCGGCGGATTTTCAACCTTTACTGGTGATGATGGGGCCCACTGGCTCATAAGTAAGTTAATTCCAAAGAGCTGTTCAGCATAGGCATCATAGGCCCGAAACAGTTTCAGCTTTTTTGGTGTCAACTCCTTGAATCCATTGTGGTAACTATATCCCTATAGCCTCCAGCTGTTTGGTAATAATTGTTCGCCGCAAATGCCAACTTTTGGGCAAAAGATCGGTGAATCAATGCTGGCAGAATCAAAGGGCCGCGGATGTGCCACATATTCCATGCTCCTACCCTACTCTACCTGGTAGTAATGTAGAAGGCCATGCTCTGTTGCAGCGGAGACAGCCTTGTGACCACTCTATCACACCCATAGATAGCCGATATTCCATGCTCCTACCCTACCCTACTCGGTAGTAGTGTCGAAGGCTATGCTCTGTTCCAGCAGAGACAGCCTTGTGACCACTTTTTCGCAATTATAGACAGTTCATGGAGCCAGCCGCTGCTCAGATCCTATCAAGTAGATGCAATGACGTTGGTTCAATAGCTCTGGCATTTATTTCCTTAGACACAAGAATTATAGGATGGGCTAACGCCCGGGTGCCGCCGACCCCTATTTGGAGCAAGTAAGACAAAGACACCTGCGGAACAAGCAGGATGCACTGCATAAGTGCTGTCTTTGTCTTACTTGCTCCGAGTAGTGGTTGGCGGCGCAGGGAGGGTAAGGGAAAAAGGAAGGAAGAGGAAGGCAAGGACATCAATAGGTACCCAAAGGAAATGAGGAGAATGAAAAGGACATGACAAAGGAGCAGAAAAAAAGAAGAGGCGCTTAAAGGAAATACACAGGAATCAAGAGGGAATCACCAGAAATGAAAGGAAAGGAAAAAGAATCAAAAGGAATCAAAAGGAGATTAAGAGGGATGAAAAGGAAATGAACAGGCATCAAAACAAATCATAAGGAACCAAAACGAAGTCAGAAGGAAGCAAACGGATACCAAAAGGAAACAAGAGGAAGCCAAAGGAAATCACTAGGAAGCAAAAGGAACAGGAGCACAAAAGGAATGAGAAGGAATCAGAAGGATATCACAAGGAAGGAAAGGGATGAAGAAGAGGAAAGCAAAGAGCGAAAGGAAATTAACATGGAACTCAGAGGAAAGGAAAAGGAAGGAAGAGGAAAACAAAAGGAACCAAAAGGAAACGAAAAGGACACAGAGAAGCTTGCAGGTTTGCTTTATCTCTGAAGATCCTCCCTCGAACGTAGCCGAAACAATGGACCAACCCAGGTTGTCGCGAAGAGCGAGCACCAGTATGTAAACCACCCTTGTTTGCTTGAACAGGAACGTGAGGGTTTTGCGCTTTGACATCTGGGCGTATCGGGGTCCCAGGCTTCAGTGAAGTATAGGCTGTTGCATGCAAACGAATACAAACAAGATTACACCATCATAGACCCCAAACAGCGTCAGCATTTTTGTTGGCGTCGGCGTCAACTCCGAAAATTCCAATGTTGGTGGAAACGAAAGCAAGTACACTTTTCTAAAGCCTCCAGCTGTTTGGGAACTGCACCTAAACAATAAATGTTTGCAAACACCTGTTCCTGATGCCTGTGTCACATGTGCAAAACGATGGGATACCCGATATGTCGTGAGAAGATCCGGTGGTGATATCGCATTTCGATCGCTGTGTCACTGTTGCATACCCAGACAAGGCGGTGGAGATAGGAAAAACGGCGTGGCCAAGCAGGGGACAAGCCCCGAGTAAAAAGCATGACAGGCAGACCTGGACAAACAACAAAAGAAGGACACGAGGACAGCGGGGAACACCAGGAGGACCCCCAGGGTTCGAAAACGTGGCCACTAGAAGCAGGAGGAAGACACAGGGTTCGCCAGCGCGGCCAAAGGACGAGGACACAGCCACAGAGGACAAGAGGACGACAAGGCCTGCCCAGCCACAGAGTTCAGGGGCGCCGCCAAGAGGAGGACCAGAGGAGGACAAGGCCTGGACACAGAGCCCAGTTCAGGGGCGCGGCCAGTCAGTGTGGCCAGCTCTTTTTTTCCCGAGAGCGCCAGCGAAGGGTTCTTCGTAAAAAAACATCTGCAGAACTACGCCTCATCTACATCTTCACATCTTCACCACTGCTCATCTTCACATCTACATCTCATCTACATCTTCACATCTTCACCCACTGCTCATCTTCACATCTACAATGACAACTGTACATCTACATCTCTGCTCATCTTCGCATCCTCACATCACACCTACATTCACAACTGCACATCTACATCTCTGCTCATCTTCACATCCTCACATCTACATGTCACATCCTTACCTCTCATCTACATCTCACATCTTCACCTCTCGCTCTTCTTAACTTTCTCTCTTAAGGCCGGGGGCAGTGCCGCCGGAGCACCACGAAACGCAACCCTCTGCGAAGATCGTGCGTGTCGAGCGCACGAAATGCAGGCGAGAGTGCGATTTGTCCCGGTCCGTCGCAACCCTCTGCGGAGATCGCGCGTGTCGAGTGCGCGAAATGCAGGCGAGACTGCGATTTGGATTTGTCCGGCGCAACCCTCTGCGGAGATCGTGCGTGTCGAGGGCGCGAAATGCAGGCGAGAGTGCGATTTGTGTCTGTCCGGCGCAACCCTCTGCGGAGATCGTGCGTGTCGAGTGCGCGAAATGCAGGCGAGAGTGCGATTTGTCCCGGTCCGGGACAACCCTCTGCGGAGATCGTGCGTGCGTGCGCGAAATGCAGGCGAGAGTGCGATTTGTCCCGGTCCAGGACACCCCTCTGCGGAGATCGTGCGTGTCGAGTGCGCGAAATGCAGGCGAGAGTGCGTTTTGAACTGGCGATTTTCTAGTACAGGAAGATGAGAACTGGCGACTTTGTAGTGCAACTCTAGTACGCGGAGCAAGCTGTGGAGCTGGAAGCTGAGAACTGGCGACTTTGTAGTACAACTTTAGTACGCGGATGAGTCTTCTCTTGCGGCTGAGTCATCGCTCGCGGCTGCTCTGGCGCCCCTGCAGCTGAGTCATGTCTCCCGACCACCCGGCTCTCTTGAGAGGTTGACAAATTTTAGCGACTTTGCTGACTCATCAGTGGCTGCTACAAAAGAGTCATCGTGACGTTGGTGTGTGTGTGTATTTCACCTTCGACGTCGTTTACTCTCAGGTCGCCCTGTTTGTGGAAACTTCAGTGTGAAATGTACGTTCTCCAGTTCTATTTGAACCTCTTCAGCGTTGTACTTGCACAACTAAGGTTGACGTTGCTGGAAGATGAGAACTGGCGACTTTGTAGTACAACTTTAGTATGCGGAGCAATCTGTGGAGCTGGAAGCTGAGAACTGGCGACTTTGTAGTGCAACTTTAGTACGCGGAGTATCTGGGGAGCTGGAAGATGAGAACTGGCGACTTTGTAGTACAACTTTAGTACGCGGAGCAACCTGTGGACCTGGAAGCTGAGAACTGGCGACTTTGTAGTGCAACTGTAGTACGCGGAGCCATGTGTGGAGCTGGAAGCTGGGAACTGGCGACTTTGTAGTACAACTTTAGTACGCGGAGTATCTGGGGAGCTGGAAGATGAGAACTGGCGAAGTTGTAGTACAACTTTAGTACGCGGAGTATCTGGGGAGCTGGAAGCTGGGAACTGGCGACTTTGTAGCACAACTTTAGTACGCGGAGTATCTGGGGAGCTGGAAGATGAGAACTGGCGAAGTTGTAGTACAACTTTAGTACGCAGAGTATCTGGGGAGCTGGAAGATGAGAACTGGCGACTTTGTAGTACAACTTTAGTACGCGGAGCAAGCTGTGGGGCTGTAAGCTGAGAACTGGCGACTTTGTAGTACAACTTTAGTACGCGGAGTATCTGGGGAGCTGGAAGATGAGAACTGGCGACTTTGTAGTACAACTTTAGTATGCGGAGCAATCTGTGGAGCTGGAAGCTGAGAACTGGCGACTTTGTAGTGCAACTTGAGTACGCGGAGTACCTGTGGAGCTGGAAGATGAGAACTGGCGACTTTGTAGTACAACTTTAGTACGCGGAGCAATCTGTGGAGCTGGAAGCTGAGAACTGGCGACTTTGTAGTACAACTTTAGTACGCGGAGTATCTGGGGAGCTGGAAGATGAGAACTGGCGAAGTTGTAGTACAACTTTAGTACGCGGAGTATCTGGGGAGCTGGAAGATGAGAACTGGCGACTTTGTAGTGCAACTCTAGTACGCGGAGCAAGCTGTGGAGCTGGAAGCTGAGAACTGGCGACTTTGTAGTACAACTTTAGTACGCGGATGAGTCTTCTCTTGCGGCTGAGTCATCGCTCGCGGCTGCTCTGGCGCCCCTGCAGCTGAGTCATGTCTCCCGACCACCCGGCTCTCTTGAGAGGTTGACAAATTTTAGCGACTTTGCTGACTCATCAGTGGCTGCTACAAAAGAGTCATCGTGACGTTGGTGTGTGTGTGTATTTCACCTTCGACGTCGTTTACTCTCAGGTCGCCCTGTTTGTGGAAACTTCAGTGTGAAATGTACGTTCTTCAGTTCTATTTGAACCTCTTCAGCGTTGTACTTGCACAACTAAGGTTGACGTTGCGCTGCCGTTGCATCGACGCAGCTACGTCTACACCCCCTCACCTCTCTACATTTACATCTTCACACGATCCCATCCGCAGATCTACCTCTCCACCTCACCACACCCACACATCTGCACATCTATATCACATCTGTACATCCACACTGTCGCTCCTTCACATCTGTCCTGTCTTTTTTTCTTTCTACATATCTTTTCTCTCGTCTCTGTGCATTTACATCTTCGCACGCTCACATCCACAGATCTACCTCTCCACCTCCATACATCTACACATCTGTATCGCACCTGCACATCCACACTGTCACTCCTTCACGTCCATCCTTTCTTTCTCTCTTTCTATATATCTTTTCCACAGTGCTGGACAATCACATGTCTCGCTCTCGGGCCACCCGTCGTCTAGTTCTTCGATAGAACCCCAACAGTGAACTGTTTGGGGAATAAACCAGGAACTGATCATTGCGTAGATGTTCAATGACCAGCAAACACCTGTGAAATAACACCTACGTCTGGAGAAGAAAAAGCAGCGAGAGTTGGAGTTGAATCTGGAGGGGAGATTCTTGAGGGTCGTGATGGTGTTTTCTTGAGGTTAGAGAGGTCTGCTCCTTAGAGTGCTTTGTACTTTTGAACAAAGGTTTTATAGAGGCTCGTCTCTGATTGTTGCTGATTCCTTGGCAGCAGCCTGGCAAGGCCGAATGCAAGCAGGGATCTCTGGAGATTTTCCTGCGACTGCGACGCTGAGAGCCGGTAGGAAAATACATTGTTGGGCCTGGAGGGGGCTGATGCTTCGTTTTGGCCTGCTAATGTGGAGGAGGGCTTTGCGCGATGCTGTGGGTTGGGCAGAAAGTAGCCTCGCGGACTCCTTTCAATGGGAGAGTGAGGCCGCGTTCGAGCTGGAAGAATGGAAGGGTTCCAGCTCGAAGACGCAGCATGCGCTGTCTACCGCCACAGGTAGCCATGATTTTCGAGCACTATGATCTTGCAGTTGATGCTTCCAAGAACCGATCTTCTTGAAGACCTTGACAACCACGCCTTCGATGCATTGGGTTTCACTTACAGTGGTAATGACTTTCTGCAAGAACTCTAAGCAAAAGAGTAATATAAATGAACGACCTTAGTCGTCAAGATATCAACCAAGCCAATTTCGTGCACAGGGCTTAGTAAGGTACATTCGCGGCTGAGGTATTTGGCTGAGGCCTGGTAAAGCAACCGCTTGCTTTCGCGCGTCACCGCACTCGACCGCACTTGACAAAGAATGCCGCAGCTGGAGAGATTCGGAAGAATTCGATCATGTGCAAAAACGAGGGAATATAAGATATATGACGTCAAGAGAAAATCCGAGAATAATATCAAAGTCGAAACGCTGTATCACTGTTGCAACACAGCCACACGAAAACATATATATACCTGAACAAGGCGGTGGAGAAAGAGAAAGCAGGACAAGGCTCGGACAAGGCGGTGATAAAAGGGCCAATAACGTGGACAAGCAGGACAGGCAGACTTGGACAAGGCGTGGACAAAGCCCTCACCAGTGGACAAAGCGGAGAAGGCAGGGTCCACAGCGCGGCCACGGCTATCATCACCAGCGACACAGGATAAAAGGACACCAGGGTCACCAGGGAGACAAAAGTGGCCAGAATGACACCAGGGTGACAAGAGAAGGACACAGGGTTCCGCGAGCGCGGCACGAGGACAGCAGGAGGACAACAAGAGGATAACACCCGGACACAGGGTTCAGGGGTGCGGGCAGAGACTGTTTCAGAAGAGAGAAGCCCAACAACAGGGGGATACCCAGTGGAAGAGGAGGGGATGATTCTTGAGAAGCCGTAACCCAAGAGTTTGCCATGAAGTAAGACCTCCAGGCATCTCATCCACTGCAAAGAGTTCGTCTTCCCTTGAGATCTAAAAAGGGGGGACCACAGGAAGGCCGAGCCTACGAAAAGCCAAGCGAAAGATACGGCTCGAACGATTCACCAGCCTCTCATCCTTCCACAGCCGTTGCGTCAACCAAGGTGACCCGGTGCCCACCTGGTGCCCCAGTCCATGACGCTATGACACCTCGGGTCGTGTTCTTCTTCAGATCCATTTTTTTCAAAGTCACGAGTCCGAAGTAGGATTCTGTAGCTGAAGTCGAATCAAAAAGACATAAAGTTCTTTGCTGGCTGAACGTCCTTTTGTTGTATTGGTTCCTCTTGGTTCCTCTTGACGTATCAGCCCCCAGGACGGCATCGCTGCACCGGTGGGGTGCCCGGGTTGCCATGGCCGGCTTCGGTCACAGGGCTTGGCAGGTCGAGGTTCGTTCGGTTGCTGGACCTGGGCCGAAGATGCAGAGACCACGTGTTGAGAGGTTGTCTTTAAGAAAATCGTGGAAATATGGAGGAAAGATGATTGCAAAGAGCCACTTAGACTTCGATCCAGAAATGAGAAATCCAAGGGCTAGAGCGGCTACGGGTTGTTCCGCAGCATTTAGTCATGGCCATCCTTTCTTCTGAATAGTTGAGCGGATTGCAGATTGGGCGTGCCTCCGAAGCCAAGCAAGCCATCCGAAGCGTCCTTCCGCTTGTCCGAAGAAAGCTCACCATTTTTGTTGCGTTGGCCCCATTAGCCCCCATGCGACGTGTTCGCCGAAATGCGACGTTCACCGAGGGTGCAGATGTTCTTTGTGCGAACAAGGTGACAAGGGAGAGTTGTTGTTCCTTCTTCATCTCCCAAAAACGGATGGGATGAGACAACGAAATCCCTTGAAAATTCCGGACACGAATTTCACTTGGTGGTGTGGGAGTGACTGAGGGAGATTGTGGTTCGCAGTGGGAACCCGCACCTGAGTCCTCCTCATACCGCATCCTTAGACCCAAGACCTAAAAGAGCTGGGTTAGCCTTGATGCTGCAACAAGGCTGGATACGGTGATCTTTTGCTCAACAAGAACAGAAACAGGATCTTTAACGCATATATCACCTGGCAGCACCATGACTGAGGCTAGCACTCGAGATCGGGCATACGTCATGCCTGCCATGGCTTTGCGAGCCGTGTTTGGTGTACCTTGTTCGAGGAATGTCTTCGGATTTTTTGGGGATAGACTAGGCATATCTAGGCATCTAGTCTCAAGTTTCAAGCGGGACAAAGTGAGACGGTGAGACTGCCCTGAAGACTATAGGGATTAAAAATGCATCTGGCAGACCCTGGCATTCGGGACAGGAGCCAATAGCAGATGTTGTGCACTATATAGCTCATTTCTGCCATTGGACAATTCACATCGCGTCTTCATGTGGTTTCTGTTGGGCGGCCCGGGGGGATTCCGGAATGAATCTATCCCGTTTTCCGAGGATGTTCGACCCGAAGGTTAAGGATCGGCAGCGGAAGGTGCGCTTCACCCGGCCAGGTGCCAAAGCCTTTCAACCCTGAGAAGGTGGGGCACAGTGGGAAGTCAGTGCGCTTTTTCAGCGGACCAAACGACGTTTCGGGCGGTCCCAAAGCGATCGCCCGCTCCGGCTTTTTCGGCTGGTGCGCCGCCGGATCGCCCGGGGCGGTTCTGGCTCGATCGCCCGGCGGGGCGTTGGCGTTCCTGACTTGGATCGGTGACCCTTAAGACTTGGGTTTCCAATCATCAGCCAGGACCCTCCAACAGGCTGCTTGGAGACCCTAACAGGTGGTTTCTGGACACCGGACTTGTCACCAGGAAACACCTGTGAAGTCGGGTGCTGGAGTGTTTGATTCGACATACTTTTAGAAGGGTGCATTCTTTCGGCTCCGTCGTGAGGAGTTCCAAAAAAGACAGCTGCGGGTCCGCGAAAAGATTGCGGCCATGCAGAAGGCGGATCTGAAGTTGGGAGATGAACTGCATCGGCTCAGAGCGTTCAAGAGCTGTATCGGCTCAGTGGCCGTTTGATCATTTTGGAAAGGCTGGATTTTGGGATTTTGCCACACACTCTTTTGTCTCATTTTGGGGGGTGCGAATGGTGGTTCAACAGCATACAAAAGCAGGCGTTCTTCTTGGGTGGGTTTATCCACAAAGGGCTAGAAGCTACTAGGTGGAGGCCATCGCAAGCAGGTTGGAGGCCAGAAGCCACTAGGAGCTTCTTAGTGACAAGAAGCTACTAGGGGCTCCTGGCCTTACTACTAGGAGCAAGGGTGCTACGAACGGGGCTCCTGGCATCGCTACGAACGGAGCGATCGGACGCTACGAACGGTTTTTCTATTCCACCAAACACCTCTCTCCGCCCAGACGAAGTTGGGCTTCGTGGACGCACCTCTGGCTGTACGGAGACTCGGTGAAGGTGTCGTCGTCCGCAGAACGCGGCACCGGTCGTGGTGGTTCGTCAAACACGCCAGCGACCCGCGTTCTGTTCCATGGAAGTGATTGGCCCTGGCCTTTGGGAAGACCAGGTTCCGAATACCGGGAGTTGTGACAAGTTGCTGTTGAGTTGCGACAAGTGTCGATCGAAATGGAAGCAACGGTGTGGGTGCAATGATCTTCGAGGCTCAGGCGTGGGTGATTGAACCACCGGCATTGATTTCTTGAGGGGATTTCAGGTGCACTGCTGGGAGTGCGAATTGGATGAGGATAGGTTGGGAGCTTGTTAGGTATTGTCAGATTGTGATGTCCCAAAGGAGATGCTGATCTCAGAGCATCTCAAAACACAGTTCTTGAAAAACTATTCCTTCTCACGGACAGCCTAGGAATACTTAAATGATCTTAAATGTACTTCATGGGGATATGATATATCAATCTATCCACAAAGAGCTTTACAAAAACCTCACGCTACGAAGGATGTTCGTGGACGCCGTTTGAGGCCAAGATGGACTTGAAGGGAGAGGCGGCGGGTGTTTCTCGGCCGATGCGCGTAGACCACAAATTCCCCAGGCTTCCGGTCACCCACCATTTACTGAAAGTAGCCTTGATTCCTTTCATCGTCATCGATGCCCCAAGAAAGAAACCCAGAGACTCAAAGTTCAAGGGGAGGGGTGGTCTTTGGACCCTCTTTGGTCCGACCACTCGCCTCAGAGTAGACCACGACTGGTACGGGTGGTGGGTGAATCTGGGTGGCACTCAAGCAATCTAGATGAGGTGTCGGATAAAGTTGTTGTCTTTCTTGGCTGTTCGAAGGTCTCTAAGGGTGTGGATCGAAGTGAATTCCCGGGGGTTTGAAACACTTGATCTTTTCTTTCAAGGGCGTCCAACGAAGTCAAAGACCGAACGACCATCCTAGATCACCGATGCCAGTGGAACGCATCATCCAGCTGTGCTTCTAGAATTAGCTCCATTGCGTTCCTTTTCGGAGTCCAACGCCCCTGTGTGTGCCATTCGCTGGCTCCAAAGCGACCGCGCAGGCCATGCCACCCACCGGAAACGCCCAACTCCAGCGCTCGGAGCTCAGGTGACCAGGGAAATCCGAACCAGGGCCGGGCAAAAAACGGAGGGTCTGGTTCTTCATGGTTCTTCATGGTTCTTCATGGTTCTTCATGGTTCTTTGGCTCCAAAGGTCTTCCTTCAAGCTCTTTGGGCCAACTGTTGATCAAAATCCTTTGGCGTCCTTGCAAGGAGTGAGGCATTAGCGGCATAGTCCTTATTTGTCACTGTCATGTCACTGTCATAGTCCTTATTTGTAACAAGAAGCTCCTAGGGTGGAGGCCATTGGCATTGCCTGGGTGAACCATTTTTGGTTCCACAGCTGCGTGATCAACACCGAGGCGTATCAGTGGAGAAAGCTGCGCAGGGAGGCACAGGGAGGCACAGGCAGCATCACAGGGTCTTTTTGGAACTCACAGGAAGTCCACCCCTGGGCACGGAAAATCTCCGCTTGGCAGCATGGAAGTGGTCGAGTTCTTTCCTTTTGTATTGTGATTGTCCTCTTCTCGCATCAAGACAAGAACAATCCAAGCTGATGTGTTCGACTGTTTGTCGCGGGTCTCCTGACCGGTTCAGCGTCGTTCGCACCTTCCGTCGATTCTCGACCACTTCCCAAGCAACGAAGTAGCAAACTGATAGTTCATAGAAAAGGAATCTGCGCACGACCCGAATGACCCGAAATTTAGACCGACGGGATCGAAGCAATCCTCATAGAGCCCGAAGACACCCCCCGAACCTCTCCCCTTCGATTTGAAGAGAAGTAGATAAGGCCTCAACAAGGCCTTAAAGCAGAAGTCCATGTTTTGCATGTGGCTTGGTAGACTCGGGCCAAACTGAGTTCACCAAGGATCACCGGAATTCACTCTCCGCCACTAACCTTGGTGTGATCACAATACATGGAACTCTCTCACCAACCTCCCTAAATGAACCGTTTCATCACCTTTATATAGTGAGCTCCAAGGAATTCGAGTCTCAAAAAGCCCCTTCCATCCTCGGAAATAAGGCCGGCTTAAGGATTTCAAAGGGGGGGAGCTTTAGGGAGGGGTGTTGGGCTTCTATCCAATTCCCGGCTTTTGGAGACGGCGCCCGCCTTTCAGGTTCGATTCCTCCAGGGTCCAAGAGGCCGCCGTGGGGGGTTGGACGGAAACCCTGTTCGATTCCATGCCATGCCCTCCATCTTGATGGAGGGGTGTCCCACGTGGCGAAAGACACCGCTTCGTTCCTTTTGGGCGTCCGTCCGTCAAGTCTCCCCAATGGTGGGCCGGTACGTCAAGCCGTACGTCTTCGGTCGGAGGTCGGAAAAGGGACCGAAGTCGTCTTCGGTCGATGTTGGATGAGGAAAGAAAGATGATTTTTGCGATGTCTCGAGTCTGGATTGGTTCATGGAGCGAACAAAACTATCCTACAGTCACTCTGCCTCGTTTAGGTCATTGTTGATGCATTCTACAGGAACTTGGGACGGGTTTCTTTAAGAATCTATTGTGTTTTGTTTAAATGCACGTTGCTTTGTACCGAAGTTTGGATCTGTAGGACTTTGAATTTTCGTGTCTCAGCTTGTGTGTGGCTCTCCACTGAAGGCAGAGAAGGCAGTGCTGACACCAGCAGAAGCTCCACCGCAGGGGGAACCCAGCGCTGAGAGACGGGCGAGGGCGAAGGCCGAGAGACTGGAGGAACGGTTTGACCATGTTTGACCCCTCGCTAGTAGAAACAAGTGCCACGCTAGTAGTAACAAGTGCATCGCTTCTAGTAACAAGTGCCTTACTAGTAGTAACAAGAAGCTACTAGGGGCTCCTGGCATCGCTACTAGGAACAAGAAGCTACTAGGAAGCCGGGTGTTGCAACGGGTTGGTGGCGGGAAGCTGGGGGCGAACGTGGCCTTACCACGAACGGAGCGATCGGACGCTACGAACGGGGCGAAACTGGCCTTACGTTCGTAACAAGAAGCTACGAACATAACAAGCCCTTTGAGAATCTCAAACGACGTGCTCCAAAACCTCAAGAACAGAGACCCCATCACCCTCCCTTCAGTCCCTGATCCGTTTTTTTTCCCATGTCGTCCCCAGGCCACCTCCCCTGGATCACTGGACGCCGCCGGAGCGCTGGGCACCTCCGTTTTGGGCGCGTTGGTCCAAGTGTGGGAGAAAAAAGGAATCTAGAGCCGTGTGTGTGGCCGCGTTTTTGGCCCCCTCCTACTAAGCTCCTTTTGCCTGAGGGCGGAGAGGAGCTTCCTTGAACAAGCGCTCGCACTAATGATTTGGTTCCTAGATTTTTAGGAAACTAAACTCTTATCAAGTTCTTCATGTCCCTTCTTCTTTGCCAGTTCGCGTCCAATAGACCTTCCTTATTGATTCTTTCTCTTTCCTTACGTCTGGAGAATCTTTTCAGATAGCTTCTTGGTTTGAGAGAAAACCCAGAAAGCTACCAGGTGGAGGCCATCGCTAGTAGGCTGGAGGCCATTACTACTAGTTTCTAAAAGCTATATCACACCAAAGACACCCAGGAGCCTGATGAGCCACCACCCGCAGAGAAACAGGCCCGGTCTTCTGCACAGTGGAGGGTCTTCGGGCCTGATGTTGCAGAACTGTGTTTTGGGGTTCGTGAGGAAATTTCTTTGGGCCCTTAGGAACTGATTGTCCTGTCCTTTTTTCAATAGCAGAACTGGTTATCCGTCTGGTTTTGATTGCTGTTATGTTCATCTCATCGGATTCTGGTCGCAAGAGTTGATTCAGATCAACGATGAGCCACGTCCTCCGAGCATGTCGAGTGGCTTTGACATGTTGCCGTATGTTGCCCTTCGAAAGATTGGAGTGCTTGCAGGAATCTACCCCAAGCTTCCAAGCTAGGCTGGAGCGGTGGGTCCTTCTTGCAGCATTTCTTCCACATGAAATCTCCGATTTCTGCATCTATTTCGACAGAAGTAGAGAGATTGAGATGCTGTTGCACGTGTCTCGCTGCAGAAATTGCCCAGGGATCCTGCACCTGCCGAGCAGGTTGAGGCATCCGAAATGGGAGGGTCCCATTTGTTAGTTTTGATAGAAATTGGACTTCTCAAGAATCCTATGAACCAGAAGATTATGAACGCACGGTCCCAGACAGGAAGGGATCAAGGTGATAAAAGCTCAGATTCGAGAGCAACTCAAATGAGGGACTCAGATTAGACTCAAAATCGACTCGGGAAAAACACAAGGAAATACTTCGGAACAACTCAAAAGAAACTCAAGGAACAAGTAAAAACAGCAAGTCTTTGCATAGAATTTCGTAGAACTCATGAACGCAAGCCTGAATAAAAAATCAAAACAACTTGCTCCTCGAGTATCTGTTGAGCACAACTGTTTGGTCACTGCGTGTCCTCAACCGTAGGAGCAATGTGGGTAGTTTATAGTTTCCAACTGTTGACCGAGAGCTGACATCGGCAGGTCAAGCAAGAAATGCCACCTGCCAAGGAGCCACAATGCTTTGACCTGGCTCTTAGAATGTAAGGGACTGACCAGTTCAATTTCCTGCTATCAGTGAGAAAAGAAGAAGCTGTTTGTTTGTTTCCTCTCATTTCAGGTTTGGAGAGAAGAATCGCTTGCTCCACCTTCCATCCGAAGAACATTTCTAGGGTAGACCCCCAATATGGAAGGAAGCATGAGCCAGACGGATTGAAGAATCTATCCAAATATATAGACTTGCTGACTTGCTTGAAAAGTCCTAGCTTGGGACCATTGAAGCACCTCAATCTGCTTGGGACCCATCGAACAAGATCAGGAGCCGGACGTGCCGCCACCGCCACCCTTTCAGGCGAAATGCGACCGAAAAGAACTGTGTTTTGGGGTTCGTGAGGAAATTTCTTTGGGCCCTTAGGAACTGATTGTCCTGTCCTTTTTTCAATAGCAGAACTGGTTATCCGTTTGGTTTTGATTGCTGTTATGTTCATCTCATCGGATTCTGGTCGCAAGAGTTGATTCAGATCAACGATGAGCCACGTCCTCCGAGCATGTCGAGTGGCTTTGACATGTTGCCTTGCCGTATGTTGCCCTTCGAAAGATTGGAATGCTTGCAGGAATCTACCCCAAGCTTCCAAGCTAGGCTGGAGCGGTGGGTCCTTCTTGCAGCATTTCTTCCACATGAAATCTCCGATTTCTGCATCTATTTCGACAGAAGTAGAGAGATTGAGATGCTGTTGCACGTGTCTCGCTGCAGAAATTGCCCAGGGATCCTGCACCTGCCGAGCAGGTTGAGGCATCCGAAATGGGAGGGTCCCATTTGTTAGTTTTGATAGAAATTGGACTTCTCAAGAATCCTATGAACCAGAAGATTATGAACGCACGGTCCCAGACAGGAAGGGATCAAGGTGATAAAAGCTCAGATTCGAGAGCAACTCAAATGAGGGACTCAGATTAGACTCAAAATCGACTCGGGAAAAACACAAGCAAATACTTCGGAACAACGCAAAAGAAACTCAAGGAACAAGTAAAAACAGCAAGTCTTTGCATAGAATTTCATTCAACTCATGAACGCAAGCCTGAATAAAAAATCAAAACAACTTGCTCCTCGAGTATCTGTTGAGCACAACTGTTTGGTCACTGCGTGTCCTCAACCGTAGGAGCAATGTGGGCAGTTTATAGCTTCCAACTGTTGAGCTTGATTGCCGAGAGCTGACATCGGCAGGTCAAGCAAGAAATGCCACCTGCCAAG